AACTGTGACGGAGAAACGTGAGCCGTGTTCCGCGTCTCTCGCAGAAGTTTCGAAACCGTCCGCGAGAAGGCTGACGCCTCGACAAGAAAAAGTACGCGATTCGTTTGCCCCGCGGTCAACCCTTTTACGTCCAATCTTCGCGGGATCAAGACGCCCGGAACAAAGAGGCGGATATCGCGGCCGTCCTGAGCTTTGAAAGCTGAGGGGCTTGCGCGGTTCGAAACGCGGCTTGTCACTCGCAGCCACCACGCAGTTTCGTTTCGCCGGGGTGAACCGAGCCGGTCGGTTCTTGTGTCCGTTCGCGACGATCGAATTCGAGACGGCGAAACGACTCGAGACCGAGGAGAAATGATTCTCGGTTCGAGGCGAGGTGGCTATTGTCGAGGGAGCAACCGAGGTCGTCTCGAGCGCCTTTCGTTGCGATCAAAATTCACTGGCAGCCCTTCACCGTAATTCACTGTGACGACTCGGGGAAGAGGATGATGGGAAGAGGAGGAGGTCGGCTCACGCGTGCTGAAAACCTGAGAAAATCATCGTCGACGACGTGTTCTCCTGCAAAAAGCTCGAATGTCAGGCGAGTCCTTTTGTTCACATGAGTGTGTGTGTGTGCAGATTGCGGTGCAGCGGGTTCATTTGCGCCGTGACGAGAAAGTTGCTGCTGGAACGAGGCACGCGAACGCGAGACGTCGTACAACTCGTTCAACGCGACTTGTACCGACTTGCAGCGATTCGAACAGACAGTTCGACAGTTGGACAGTTTGTAGTTTTTCTGGTACAGTTGGCAGTTTTTCTGTTTAAAGATCACACTTTAAACATCCCAGAAGAGATGTGCAGAAGAGCAACGATATGACGAGAACTGGACGTTGATACGAGCGTACGATTTGTGATGAAATTTTAATTAGCCTCCGCTTACAATTAGCGAAACGTTAATTTGTACTGTTCTAGCTTTGCCTCTGTTTGTCAAACGATACGACTATTAGCCGCACCAATAATACACTCTACGCGCCAATGATTACTCGCGAAGATATTTTGAAATCTCATTTAAATAGCGCAACGAGGCAAATTCTATTGGGATTATATCGATCGAGCACAAAATGAAAAAAGTATATACGTATATGAAAATTGTAATCTCGTAGCTGCTTTCAAATTTTACCGAACCGTATTCACCACGCTCGTGTCTCCTTGTCGTGCTAACGAAACATATAAAAAAATTGTCTCGTTTGCAACTGTTCCATCGCCTTCCTTAACTCGGTATATGTAGAACGATGGCCATTCTGTCTTATTCGCGAGTGACGGCGAACAAAAAGCTGGAAAGAGAGGAAGCTTGTTGGGAAAGCAGCGTTACAAAATCGCTCTGTTTTTGCCGGAGGAATCCCCTGGACGGTTCGTGAAACAGCCTGTAGCAAAGAGACAGCGAGAGAGAGAAAGAGAGAGAGAGAGTGAGAGGTAGAAATCGGACGATGGGGTAAGCCGGCGGCGAAGGCGGTCGCAGAGAACGAGAGAATTTAATTTCTCGGTAACATTACACCTTAGGAGCCTTATTCCAGCGGCTTTGTGCGCCTCGAGGGGTGGCGCAGAGAGACACTCGATCGCACGACTCCATTTGCGGTTTAGCATAATGGAAATCCAACGCGCCCTCGGGGCCAACGCTACTCTCTTCTCCCCCTTTACTTCTTTCTACAGCGCCGGGCTATAGCTTCCCCGGCCGGAGCTCTGTCTTTCGCGGAAAAATAAATAAGTCCGTGCAAACACCGACACGCTCGATCCGTCCCGTGGACCGGAGAGATCTCGGCTCGATCGTCCCGGTTCTTCTTCCGGACGTTCGCCCTCGCCGATGGACGACGAGTGGTTTCGCGGAATTTAGGGTCAGGCCAATCACGGAATCGTTTCCTTCCGCGTCTCGAACAGTTGCTCGTTATATTCGTATCGATGAGCTTTCGGCAAGGAAGTTTCGAGCGTTGTTTAACGTCGAGTTGTTGCGCCGCAACACGAGTGGATCGCGTTCTACAGTAGGTACAATCGTTGACCGTAAAAACTTTGTTGTTCGATTTGCTCGACGAAATTCTCGATCGTATCGGCGGTACTCACGGCGGATTAAATGAAACATTGCTAAATTCGTTTGATCAGGATGATCGTACGAACGGAGATAGTTGATTCTATTTGAATAAAAATATTAGAAGATAATTATTCAAGAGAGTAATATTATAATGATATAATAATCATTCAATTGACACATTGTTATATTGTGTTAGTTTGGCCGAACGATTTTCTTTCTCAGTTCGTTCGAGACAATTTCTGTCACTTCATACTCGATGTTTATTCACTGCAAACAATTCCCCATGGTACCGATATTATCGGACAAAGCATCGTTTGGGATCGTTTGTTATCTCATTTCAGTGAATTAACTCGGACGAAAGACCATTCGCGGTTGATTCACTTTCCATTTTTAAAACTCGCGAATCGTTTCAAACTGCCACTCGTTTCACCTTCGTTTCAAATAAAATTTGAACCCAAACCCCGTTCGCATAATTTCCATCGTCACGTTTTGTCGTTTCTGCTTTATTTTTTATTAACCGAGCGACAGATTAAACTTTGCCGTGAAATTCATACGCGCGATTACTGTCCGTGGATTACTGCACGCGACAGCCATGAACTTCGATACTTATCCCCGCGAATACGAGGGGTTTCGCCATATAGAGTCTTCTAATAAAAAGCTCGAGCATGCCGCCTTTCTTCGTAACTAGAGTCGTTAGGGTCGACATTTTAATTTTAACAGCGACGAAGCCGCAATTGGCTCGGAGGGTCACTGTCGACGTTCCTCCCTTCGCTGGCTGGGGACTTAATGACCCCTAATGATGAGTTAAAAATAACGGAACCCCCGGCCAAGATCGAGGGAGGTCGAGGCCGTGACGAATACGCGGCAAGGGGAATGATGGCTGATGAAAAACGAAGGAAAAGATTTTCAGAATCCCGGGAAAAACGGGTTTGCACGTCGAAATTCTCCGTGTGAAATTGTGTTGCGTGATTTGCGTGAAGTAACGTTTATTTAACGCGGCGCGAACGATCGTGATCGTTAACCGGCGCAGAATTTCATTATATTTCAATTCGTGCGGCGACAATCAGCGGGCGGATTGGAAGTTGGAGCACACGGCGGGTGAAATATAACAAACGACCAATCACATTCCGAGTTAATTACTGTTTAATTAATATACACAAATCACCGACGCCGGCGGATCGAACGTCTAACGAGGATTAACGGGGTACCGGAAAAGAGAAGAGAACGAACGATGATCGAAGGATTTCACACTGACGGCTGTTAATTTGCCATCGGCGTGTTCTAACTAGGCTGCTTTGGAAATATAATTAAGAAAAACTCGAGCCTCGATAGAGAATTGTTTTGCGTGTCGAACATTGTAAAAGGCTCTGTAATTCGAACGACGTTTTCTTATTGTATGCATTCAATTATGTGTCATTAAATTCCGCGCAAATGCGTAAAAATTCGCAGTCCAGTTATAACGTATCGTGTTTTCAATTTCAATCGAAAGTGTCCCTGTTTGCCAGAGCATTCTTTTATACGATAATAAATATTTCAGCGAACTTTCATCAACTATTATCTATTACATTAACGGGTCACGTTCATTTTCATCTTTGATCTTTCACAAAAGTTCATCAATCGAACTTCTATGGATGTCATCGAACGACAACGAGAAGAACTTGACTCGAATTTCACACTTTCCTTTAAAAGTTAACACTCTCCCTTTCTGAAATGAAGCGAAATGGAATTCTCGGCGATTAGATCGAAATGTGATCGTCAAACGAAAGCGAAAGCTTCTCCTCGACGTCGCTCTGTTTCAAAGAGGCACGAAGGCTTTGCGGCACGTTTAGGTTTAGAGAAGCGAAACGATTTATCGGTCGGACGGGAGAGAGCAAGCTTTTTGATATTTCATGGGGAAACGGTGGGATAATGGCCGCGTTCGTTGGCCGTTTATTGGCGACGATTGCCGGGATCTTTCAGCGCGATACGCGGGAAAAGCGAGACGCTTTATTCCGCCGCGCGGCCAAGGTAACAAATTTTGACGCCTTAATGAACGCCGGATTAAATGTTCCGGGCTCATTAACCCCGGCGGATCGGCGCGAAAAGCGAAGGAAAAGAGGCGGGGCTGCCTCAACCCGTAGGATATTCCTGGCTGAAAAAGAATTACACGGGTAATCACCCGTGCAGCCTGGATAATTGCAATTGACGAACGGAACAAAGGGTTAACTTTCGCTTTGCCGATGCCGAGGAGCGCGCCGTGCATAATCCACCGAAAACTTGTTTCGATAGCTGGCTCTCATTGCCAGGAAGATGATTATGTGCCGAGAGACAGTCCACCATCGCGGCATTGAACGATTGCAATTTCATTCGGGTAACAGTCAATTGTTCATTGGACGAAATTGAGAAATGAACGAATTTCATTGTATTTTGTTTGAATTAAATCGCGAGAACGTTTCACGTTACGCGAATTCGAGGAGGTCGTTGAATTTGTTTAAATAATATTTTTTCATTAACATTTCCTGATGAGGTCTTGGTGAGTCGTCGTCGTCGGAAAGTAAAAAGTGCTTGCAAACGCTTTTATTCGTGCGACCCTTCCAAGACGCTCCAAAGTTGTACAGAAATCTCATACTAAGAAACTAAGTAAGCGTCCTAAGTAACTAACAGTCAGATTGACAATATTAATTAACGGTAAATTAATAATACAAGTCTTTAATTGTGCAAAAGCCGAGTTCAAGCGCGACGCGACATCCTCTGTATATTTCCACCTATTTTAATTTCTTTGGCCAGGTTGAAAAATATACGATCCATATCGTGCATATCGGTGCCATTGAAAGGGCACGGGACATTTTTCAAGCCACGACGCGGCCCAAAAGAGTTAAACGATAAAATAAATCATCCGACGAATCCTCAGGCAATAATTTCTTATCATTCATCATCTTTTCTTCTTTTTCTCTGTTTTTTACAGGGAGGCTGTGATGAGGGAAGCCGGTTAAAGGACCCTGTGTCGCGCAGGCGCCGGTAGGAGTACAGGAAAGATGCTGCCTTCCTCGAGAGCTTTATTAAGCCCGCTGCTGCTTCTAATCATCGCTGGAAGCGCCGGTGCCTTCAGCTCCCGACAAGGAGGTAAGAAAACTCCGTTTCGAAGATGTTTTGTCCCGAAAGGCAACAACGGCGGCGATGGCGTCGACGACGAGGACGAGAACGGTGACGTTCCGCGTCCTTCGTCAATTTTCCGAAAGTTTTCCCCCGGGTAAATCTGGTTAAGTCGTTGACCGAGTTTCCCCGCGGACCCGGGCGCTCCTCGTTCTCGTCTCGCTCGAGATTCTGATCGTTTAAACAGAGTGCCGGTGTCGTCAAAACGTTTCGCAACCGTGGAAACGAAGATCGAGAACCTGTTGGATGACCGACCCAGTTAGCCTTGTTTTTAAATTATGTAAGTCGAAGGGATAACGAGTTTCTCGAACCAAGTTTTCGGGATAATCGTTGTACTCCACTCCACTGTTTCGTAAACTACCCTCTCAACGCGCGACAAATATTTGCGCAACCGTCGAGTTTCGACCGTCGAAAAGGCGACAGTTTTACTTTTGCGGAACTGTAAAATTTGTTCTTCTTCCCCCCCCCCCCCCCCACCGGCTTTGGCAATGCTCTTTTACTCCCCCTTTTATTATCACTTTTAGCAGAAGGAAATTTCTTTTTTCTTCTTCTTCCTTTATTGGCAGAGTTAGTGGCAATACGGTGTCGCAGGTTGTAGGAATATCGTTACAGGCCGCGGTAAATCCGCGCGGATCCGACGACAATTTTCGAAATGCCTTGAAGCGAGCTACATTTTAATTCGCCGCCGCTTACGCGGGGCTAAGTAGAATCCGGTGGACGCATAACCGTTTCATAACCGATCCGCGAGACAACGGCGCGGCGCTGGCTTAATGCAAACTGGCGCCATTTCACGGAATTACCGTGGCGGTGAGGGGAGGTGGAGGACGAGCCTGCCTCTGAATTTACACGACCTTATTTCGGGAAGGCGCGCAATTCGCGCAACGCATGCCACCTCTCTGACGAAGCACACACGGAGAACGGAGTACGCGTCGTTCCGCGCCGTCCTATCCTCATTCTCCGCTCTGCTCTTTCCTTCCCTCTCCGTCATTTTTCTCCGTTTTGTTGGCCGCCAGCCTTCTGTCTGGCTTCTTCGCTGTTTCGCGTGACCGGCGTTATTCCCTGTCTCCCCGGTCGTTTGTCCGCGTTTCGCTTTGCTTACTCTCGCAGAGAGAACACCTCTTAGTGACCATTTCCTAGATTAAGGTCACCTGGAGAGCAAATAGTTGTTAGAGGTAGAAAGAGGGAGCCAGTGGTGCCGCGCGGACGCTCAACTTCCGCTGTGTGAATGTCTCTGGGAAACTATTTACGCGCGAAACACCGTCGCGTTTCAGAGATACCGAAGAGATACGGCTTCTCTCGCGACCAGGCGACCGGGAATTTCCTCTCTCTCTCTCTCTCTCTCTCTCTCTCTCTCTCTCGATGTAAGCTTCATTGTTTCGCTTCTTCTCTATCCATCGTTCTCTCCATCTCGCCTCGACGGTGTTAGCTTTTGATACCATGGGTCACGAATGTTCGTTTCTGTTCAGATACAAATCTATCTTTCTCTCTCTCTCTCTCTCTCTTTTCTCTTTCTCTCTATTTAATCCTCTCTCTATCGGGGACTATTTTAATGCCAATGTTGAAATTGCTGTATTCGGAATAGATAATTACTTCTATGATGAAATATATATTGTCACGCTCATAGTGTATTTCGTGGCACAATATATGGTCATCTTCTCCAATGTACGTACTTATGACGTAGTATATTGTACAATTTGCCTCTTGATAATCGAGTCATTATTATTGTGACCATTGCTGCTCAATGTTGGACATATAACGTATATAGCGAGAGATCTTTTTTATTATCTTAACGTAAAGCGAACGGGCAATTTCGTGTTTTCAACGATGGTCTAATAAATCACATTCACGACGAAAGAAATGCGCTTTCAGAAATCTCTTTAGAACGAACTACATGGTTAGATCTAGAAGAGTTTCCTTGAGATTACGAGAAATTACTCACCCAATTAAAAGACCGAAAGGATCTCCAATTCACATCGATCCCGCAACATTCTCATCGAAGCAACTGCTTAAGATTTGATAAGTGATCGCTTCGATTTCTCGTTCGAGTATCCAGCGGAATGACAGTATCGTGCACGAGCGACAAGTTTCGTTGTATCTTCGCCGGTATCGGGACGAGCGAATGAAACAGGCGTACGTGTTCAGATCGTTAACCGATGACAATTTTCACAATTTTCCTCGCAACTGCCAGACCGCGCTGCTTCTTTCAATCGCCGCGTGCAATTCGTACCGTTGCCGGATTACAGCTGCGGCCGCGTCTCGTCGAGATTTTATTTCCAGCGCGCGGCTCGCCCGAAAACGACGCCACTATCGTAACCCTTTAAGAGTGTACGAGAGGGGACGGCAGTTGCAGCCGCCCATTGACCCAGATCCCCGACGATGCGCGGGCGGAATCTCGCGAAAAAATTCTCACCAGGGCGGGAACCTCGAGCCCACGGCGAATTAAGGCCGTCGTGGAGGTAATATCTTTCGGTTCAGGCTCGAGTTCTTATATCCTGGTTCTTATATTCGTCCCAGCGTTACAAGAGACGTGGGTTAGGATAGCGATGGATGTTTGAATCTCACAGTCGAGTTTCGAACTTATCCGAGTTACCTGAATGAAAGTGAAAATTTTCATCACTCCGAATGTAGTGACTAGGATGTGATTAAGATTCATGGAAGTCTTGACTGATCTTGAGTTCTCGACTTGTGGCGAAAAGTTCGAATAGTTTCGAACACGATTCGATGCCTTGGAACTTGTTAATTAATGGATTAATTAATTAAATTAATTTTGATTGGTTTTTGAGTCTCGAACATACGAAAAATTCGAAATTGCTTCGAATGTGATTCAATGCCTTCTCAATTAGTTTTAAGCATAAGACAAAATATTCAATATCAGTCGATTTAAAATTTTTAATTAGTCTTGAGTCTTGAACATACGACGAAAAAATTCGAATAACTTTGAATATAATTCGGTGTCTTGAAAAAAATTCAAATGTGATTCGATGCTTTGAAACTTCTAAAATTAATTAATTTAGATTGAAATATTCGATTGTTGAAAGCCATAAAGGTTCTGATAGATAACGTGCATTCAATATGTTACTGGATGGCATCAGTTACTTATGAGAGAATTAAAATATACTTACGTTCACGTACGTTTTCCGTTTTTATGTCACATATTACGCACTTGAGAAACGAAGGAACAGAACGCTTGTAAAATACTGAATACTGTTATCAGTTATATTCTCCCCCGTGCAAGTGAGCTAATATTACTCGACATTTATTAAAGGATGAATAGGAATATTACGAATGGAAATATCTTCTTAAGGCGATCGTAAAGAACGATATCTTCCTCGTTAATTCACCAGTGAATTTAACCGTTAAGCGTACGCGATAATTGTAGTCTCAGGGCGTAGTCTAGCGCATAATTTTGATCCGCAACGTAACGAAAAGTGTACCTTAAAAGTGTATTAACAATACAACCAGTATAATCGTATATTTCATTCTTTGCCACCTGTCAAATCACAAACGTACAATAAATATGATACATGTAAAATGCAAAAGTAATAATATTCTCATTAACCATTAATGTGTTCCAACTTGCACGTCGCAACGAGGGTGGAAGACTGCAAATATAACTGAAGAATAAACAGGAAAATTCGAAAAATAAAAGGGGAAGATTCTTACGAGCCAACAATAAGAGGTTCAGTGCCATCTGCGAGCTTGCAAGTTGTCCTCGGTGTCTAATATAGAACCCGACAATGAGCGTACCAGGAATACTCGGTTCAGCGAGTCGTTGTTTCGAGAACTAGTCGCGCGATGAGCCAGTCTCGACGCGCCGTTGGATGGTTTTCATTTTCATTTGATTTTGTCCGCTTATATCGCGTCAGCCAAATTACGCGAACGAAGAGGAGAGCCAACGAGAACGGTCGCGTAACTTTTGTTTGAAAAAGAATGTACGACGTTTCGTGGTCGTTCGACAGAAAAGAAGTGAAAATCCTGAGAGAAAAATCTCGGCCGTCGTCAATGGGGCAGGAAACTGTCGTGTCCGCGTTGTTTGTATCGTATGAAACATTTTTGACCGTTAACACAGTGTAATGAAACACGAGTGTTATAATTGTACCGGTGAAATTTGAGACAAACGTACATGAAAATTACAAGAAAATTACATTTGTTGTTGCAAACATTGCAATTGTAATTTACTACATAGAAAATATGTAGTAAAAAAAAAAATTACTAAAAATCGTGTAACGTGTATTTAGTAGAAATTATATATCGTGAGTAATTGCTCCACGATGGACAGGTAAAGCACAGCATGATCATTTTAAACACGAAATGAGCATGTAATTAAATGTAATAAAATAAGCAAATGTGATTAAAAATAATCAAGCGGGCGTGCAATTAAAAATAATAAATGATTGAATATTATCTCGATGATTATTGAAGTTTATTAATATAACTGGCAATCGACTGTTTAAATACTTTGATGATCTCATCCCGTGTTGAATATACCTTGTAATTTTCTATGTATATTTTCAGATTTGCTTCAGATTTCGCCAACATAAACACGATAGGCGACATCTCGTAACGGTGTTAATGAAATTTCAAATTACGATAATATAATATAATATATTCGTCGAAAGACATCTACAAACGTGCCGGTGTAGATTCTGATTGAGTTTTGAGACGCAGTAATCGCTTATCGGCAATTCCATTTATAACATTATTGTTTAGGTTTCGTTATTCTTCCTTTTCTGCGTTTAGCGGAAATTAATTATGGGAATTATTGTAGCCGTATTAATGGGCGAAGCAATCGTGAAACGCGTACGCGGGAATAATGAATGACCGAGGTTCCATCAGGAAAAAATCAGGTTACTGGAATGGATTTTTGCCGATATTTCTTTACATACATTTTTCGTTTTATAAATCTATTGGATGGTGCTACAAAATAAATTCCCACTCAGCGGTAGTTTCAGGGATGGTTGCTCGTTACG